GTCAGCTCAGCTTAAATAAATCGTGCATAACTGAAAACTCTCATAAAGTCATTGATACATCTATAATTAGCTACAGCATAATCCAATTAGTCAACTCGAAGTGAGCTCAATTGATATGAAATCAGGCTATCGCAGCTAATGGGATCAGCACTAAACTGCCAAACTTGAAATGCACCTAGTCTACAGGGTGTATCACAGACATAGCTTTTCAATTAAGAAACTTCTAGGGTATCACCCAGTCAATGGCATAGTTTCACTCGGCTGGCAATTATCTCATCGCTGCTGCATTCCACATACGCATGCGTCGTCGTGCATTAGGCTGCTTAGCATGTTAGAGTGCGAATACGGATGTGAGTGTGAGTGTTAGTGCGAGTGTGAGTGCGAGTTTGAGTACTCGCTGCTATGTAGGTTGGTGTGGCAAGCAACGGTACTGCAACGGCAGCCAACTGACGCCGGCTTTTGGTTGACTCCCAGGCAATTTGCAAAGCTGCCAAGGCAGGAAGAGCGAGGAGGCAGGGCAGGGTAGAGGCAGGGGCTGGGGCTCATCATTTGGCCATCTAATGCCTAACTGCATTTGGCTGTCAAGTTGACTTGTTTACGCTGCATGCATTTGGCAGTTGCTGTCATTGTTGCTGCTGCTGCTGCTGCTGCTGCTGTTGCAGTCGACGCTGCTGCGTTGGCGTCAACAACCGTAGCCAAAACGGCTTTTTGGGTCAGCACGCGTCGCACTTTGGCGCTTATATAATTGCAAAAATAAAGCAGCAACAAGCCTACATCATATGACGTGCGTATGTGCCTTGGCCCGGCCAATTATGCAAGCCATCAAATGGGGAAAAGCGGCAAACAGCGTCGCCAAAGTCACAAAAAAAATGCAACAAACGTTGCTGTTATGTTTTATTTTGGCTTTCCTTATACTTGGTTTTTTTTTTTTTTTGCTGAAGCGTAGCATAAATAAACAACCGACATTAACATTTACGATGTCTACGTGGTCCAGCGACGCGCAACGTGACTCTCAGCTCAAATATATATGTATATGCAGCATAAATTAAATTAAGCGACTGCACCGAAATTACAAGCCAAGTTATCTTCAAGATATATCAAAAGATCTCCCCTGCCCCAACAGCCACGAAACGTGAGCGGGCACTTCCAATGAGCGCAGCTAACTTTCCGCATGGGTTTCTCATAGTGAACTACTACTATGGAGACTTAGAAAATACAAGATATATAAAGTCATATATAACAAATATAATTTTATAGAAATGAAAAGATTTATATAAAATATCTAATTTAATTATAATGTTTCACACCTTTGACAAGCGTGAGGGAAATTCATGATCCAAAGCAAAATCAATATACTTTTATAAATATTTATTGAAAGTGATATCACTCTGGCTTAGCCTTAGCTTATATAGACATTCGCTCATCAAAGTTCTCATTGTTAAAGCTCCAGCTTCAACTCTCTCCAGCCTTTCGGATTATATTATATCAAAAAGTTTCTTCCACTGCCAATTGCTAACTTTGGCCCACTTTATTTATACGTTAACTGTACTATGCAGATTAAGGTCAACATAATATGCATGTAAAATTAATGCCTCACAAGCTATAAAACAATTTGTATGCCAGTGCCATAGATGAAACGGAAAAAGATTGCGAAAAATTTGTTAATCATGATTGTTCTGATTGGACTGAATCTGAATCTGATTTGAGCACGAAAAACTAGTCTCACACTGCGAAATCCATTTATTATATTACTTTCGATTTATGAGCAATTGATGATCGAGAAACTCGTTTGCTTAAGGTTCACAAATGAATTGCATATTTTTTTATTGGACGAATATATGTCGATCTTCTTTGAAAGCAATATCTTAAAAAAAAAAATCGTTTTCGTGTTGCTGTTCCAATTTATAGAGCCATAATTAATTTATTTTCAATATCAACTCAATTTATCAGTTGACTTGAGAAATACAATAAAAAAATACAAATTATCCAGCGACAAATGCGACTGCCTCTAACTGCACACTCTTGCGAGCAGCAGATCTCTCTCTCTCTCTCTCCCTCTCTCTCTCTCTCTCTCTCTATCTGTTGCTCTCTGGTAGCACAGTTTGGTGAGCAACTGTTATACGCGCGAACTGAAACTGATTTTCAAATGCCCAGAGACATTTCAACGAAACTAGTTTTCCTTTTGTATGTGTTTGCCCATTAGAGACGTCAGCGGGGAGCCGAAGGCCGACAAATGCCGTCAGCTGTTTGGCTACAGACTTGGCCCAAACGCTTCGCTGCAGCTCGCTCGCTCAGTTAGTCTTAGCCGGCACGTCGCGTCGTGTGCACCTCGTCTAAAGTTGTTTTGTGAAACGGTTCGTTATTCCCTCTCGCGCAATCCCCTGCCCCGACTCTCTCTCCTCACACCTTCAAATTGTTATACAATACACACGTTTGCACAGCTGTTCAGTTTCTTGGGCGTTTGTTGCTCCTCTGTATTGTTGGCGTTGTTGTTGTTTGCTTTGATAGTGCTCGTATGCAAAACTCATAAAAATTAGCAACAATTTCTATTGCTATTTGTTTAATCTGTTGACGCCATGCAATTTGCTATAGAAAAGTTCAGAACACAAAAACAACACTGAAACGATCAGCGCTTACGTAATGCATAGATAAACTATTTGCTGTTTGGTGTTGTTGGGGGAATTTTATATTTTTGCAAATTTTATTTTGCGAATTTTTTGCAAATGACTGCGTCGATTTTCTAGCAGTTTTATTTGCTAAGTGGGGCAGAGCATTTAAATAAATGTTTGTTTTTTTTGGAAAAGGGGGTGAGGCGGGCGTGATAAATAAATTGCAAATTGCCGGCAACATCAGCCACGTTTGAGTTGCTTTCCAGAGCAACGGTGGCAGCAACAGGTGCAAAGTGCATACAAAAGACTTAAGCAACAAACTTTCCCTACCCCCGCCTGCACGCCACAAAAGGTGTTCAACGTTTTGCCATAGTGTAATGATAATAAAGCAATAAAAAAATAAAGGAAAACAATCGTAAATAATCATAAAAAATAAAACAACAAACTTACATCATAAGCAGCTCACAAGTTGCTGGCACACTTTTCGCAGCTGCAACAACAACAGCAACAGCAGCAGCAACAACAACAACGAAGTTGAAGTAAAAAAGCGCACAGTCGCTGCATTTAATTAATCAAAAAGAGCTTTTGCTTTTATGAATGAGCCGAGTGAATCAGTGAATACCAGACTGAGTGAATGAGTGAGTGACTTATTGTGTAGCCCTGCCCTTGCAGCAACTTTTGTCATCCTGCCTCAATGGCCTCTGCTGCTGCTGCTACTGCTGCTGCTGCTTCACTTGCTCCACAACATAAATTATGAGCGGCTGAAGGCGGCTCGCTCCTCCAGCAACGGCGCTGTATTCATAGTCTATAAAAATATGACTTATTAATAAAAACAGACAACAGCAGCAACTTAGGGCCCGAACGTCAGCAGCAGCAGCAACAACAACAACTTAATAAAGCCAACAAGCTGCTGGCGCCAGCGGCTGGCAGCAGCTCTCGTAGACTAGAGCAAGTTCGTCGATCGGAGGCGCTGCCGCGTCGTAAATGTTGATGTATTGTTGATTTTTTATAAAATGTGTTAAATATGCCAAGTGTAGGACGACGCGTGTGGGTTTTTCTACCTCTCTCTCTCTCTCTCTCTCTCTCTCTCTTTCTCTCTCTCGGTTCGTCTCTTGCCTGCATGAGCTGAAGCCCTGCACTTGCTGCAGCTACTGCATTGCTCTGCTCGAAGCTAGTTTTTAGACAGCTTTGACAGTTCTGTTAGAGCTAATGCATATATTCAGAGTCTAGACAACAATTTCTAATTAGTTTATGGCTTGTAGTCAGCGTGCAGCAAGCGCTTTTTCGCGCAACCCTCGCTTAGCTGAGTACATTTTTAATTATATTTGCGAGTCCATACCCTCACCTCAGTTCAAAAGTACTTTGTATGTGGCACACGTTTTACGCTTATGTTTTTTCATACTTCATTTGCAGCATGCAATAATTACCGGGGCGTGCAAATTAATGTGCGGACAAGAAGCTCCAAAAAAAAGTGATAAGAAGAAATAAGTTTAAAATACCGTAAGGCAGACCTGCAGGACGGTCAGCTAACCTTATTTTGGGTGTATACGGAAATTGCTTAATTACAAAAAAAAAAAAAAATTATGAAAATAAATTGCCAGGCCCTTTGGTTAAACTTCCACTGCATAAATCAGCAGCAGCTAGTTGATAAGGTCTCGCAACAGTTCACTGGAGTCAAGCCTTTGGGAATGTTTTTGAATGACCCAAATAGTGGGTCACCCACGCTCAAGGTCATGCCAAACAAGTTTGTTGCCTAAGTCATTCGCTTTTGCTTCTGTCTGTCTGTCTGTCCAAGCGTTAAAGAGCAAAGTTTAGGGCGTTTGATTTACATGGCAGCCAAGCAAGTTGAATGAGTCAAAACTCACGCGTTTATAGGTTGCTACGCCCATAACATGCCCACTCTCAGCGCTTGGTGTCGTTCAGCGAAAGTTCAGCTAAAGCTCGAGAGACTTCATGAAACATATGTAGAAATAAAAATTTTCAAAACGCCCACGAATGCTATCGATTTCTGTGTGAGTGTGAGTGTGTGTCTGTGTGGGTGTTGTGGGCGTGCAATGTGCGCCTGACACCAAAACAGTTAAATGTGGAAATACAAGAAATTCAAGTGAATATCAAGCGCAAAAATTACGTCAATCAAAAAGTCAAAGCAACGGGCAGCCAGCAGCCAGCAGCCAGCAGCCAGCAAATATCAAAGCTGAAGCTAAGAAAAATATTTTCTGCAAAGGCGTCCATACAGCAAAGGCTGAAAGAAATAATACATATGTATATGTGTGCACACATATATTGCCAGGTTTTTTTTTCTCTGCTGAGCGGTCCAAGCCAAAAATGGACCATGCAGAGCCTTAGCAGCAGCAGCAGCGACGCAGCAGCGCAGCGTGTGGGCAGCAAAGTTGCCTAACAACCAACAACCAACAACTAACAACACCAACAGCAGCAGCACCAGCACCAAGCCGAGCGCGCGAACACGAACACGAAGACTAGTCTCAAGTCTCCACTGGTCGTCAAAGACGACATCGTCAGTGCTTCGGGATCGAGCGCAGCCTCAGTAGCTTCAGCTCGAACCAGAGACGAATTCGAATTCTGTTTCAGTTCGTTTTTAGCGCGCGTGCGGTGCGGTTCTCTCTCTCACACTAATTCATTCACTCCAGTGGCTCTCAACAAATCGATCCAAGTGCTGAACAGCTGAACAGTGTGCGGATCTGTGAGGTCTGCTGTTATAGCCATTCAACAGCATCCATATCCAAAGCAAACAAATTCATTTGTTTTCCTAAAATCTGCACCGTTTAATTACAGTGAAAGTTTTCGTGAGGCGTGCGCAACGAAATCAAATATCAAAATTTTTGAAATTTTACCCGTGAAAATCAAAGGAAAAACCAAACCCATACGCAGCGCGACGCGTGCAAATCATCGGCAGCAGCCAAGTGTTAAAAGAAAAGCGATAATATTTCTTAAATATAACAACCAAAATACCAAGTGCCTGTGCACAGCTCAGTGTGTGTCTGTGTGCGTGTGTGTGTGCGCCTATACAGTGCCTGAGTGTGCATCTCTCTCTGTGTGTGTGTGTGTGAGAGAGTGCTTGTGTGTGTATTTAAGCGCTTTTGGCGGCTGTGCCGCAGCCAACACAAAAAGTCTTGAAACAAATTGTTGCTGGCGTTGTGTTTCGTTGGCAGCTGTTGGCAGTATGAACTGATTTTGACCGAAATTTGATGAAGAAAATGGTGAGCAAATGTTTTTTACTTTTTGCAGAGTGTAAAATTTAAGTGAAGCCAAGAAAATTCTGCTTTTAAATTATTTTAAGCTAAGCTAAGAATAAATGCAAACATCTGTTAAGAAATAAAAAAATAAAGAAATTTAAAAAAAATTATATATAAATAATAAATCTTTAAGAATCTATAAAAATAAAAAAAATTTTTTTAATTAAATAAAATACTTCTATTTATATATTTAAATAAATCAATTTAATAAAAAAGTAAAAGTAAAATGAAAAAATATATAGTTAAATATTTATTTAAAAATATATATTTTATATTTCTTAATAATTTAATTAATTGAACAAAATAAAATTGGTAAAATTATTATACTTTAAAAAGAAAGTGCAGTTAAAAAATAGTCGACGATTTTTAATACAAAGATCTCTTCCGTAACAATAAATCTTTTCGATAAAAAAAAAAAAAAACATACAATTTAATTAAATTACAAAAAAAAAAAAGTCACAAAATATCCAGACAATCGTGATATACTTAGAAAACATTTTTTAAATATAAATTTAATAGCCGAAAATATCAGAGAAAATCTTAGCAAATAGATTGGATTTAAAAAATCCATTAAGTTCAAGTGCCAAGTATTTGTTGTCAGGCTCTCAGATCCGCAACCAAGCCCAAAGCAAGTAAACATTTCACTTTCGTTTGTGCAAATCTCTCTCCCTGCTCTCCCTTGGCTATTGTTACCTTGGAGATTGGAGAAGCGGCTGAAGATGGGGATGGAGATAAGTAGGTAGTTGCTTTGTCACTAATGCTGTTTGTTTTCTCTGCAGCGCAAACAGGGGAAAATATGACAAATAATTATTCGAAATACTCGCTTGACACACTTAGCAGGCTGTCAACCAAATAGAAATTCAAAACATTTGCCCAGCAAATGACGAAAGAAACAAATACCAACAATAATTTTTACAAGTGACCAAAAATAGAGTTTCGAGCTAAGGTCGCAGCACCGAAGTCTGTGAGTGGTGCGGCTTTGTTTAATGTGGATTGGTGGCTTTGTGGATTGTTGGCCTGAGAGTTGCTGATTGAAAGCTCGAGTATTGTGGCTTAGAGACGCACATTGGCGAACTTTTTGTTTGGTACCCACGGTTTGGCAAACTTTATTGATGGAATTGTGGGCTTATCGCTGCTTTTGTTTTCATCTTATTTTTTTGTGCTTGACTTTTTTCGGTCAAATGCAAAAAATACTGCCACCGCTTGCCGCTTGGACCGGCTGCAACTTGAGCTCATTTGTCAGTCGGCGCCAGCGTGGACTTGCTGCCAGTCATTTGTAAAATTCATTGTTTAGCAATCTTCGCAGTCGTGTGTTGTGATTTTTTCTCTGGATTTTACTTTTTCACAAGTTCGTGGCTCATCTGCTTGCCATAGCGGGCAGACTCAGCCAGCCAACTGACTGACAAACTAACTGAGTCGCTTTGGCTGCTTTGTTTTGTTTTCTTCAGCTGTTTAAATTGTTGCGTTGTTATGGCCGTGGCGAAGGTGCAAAACTTTCACTTTATGTATTATTTTTTTGCGTGCGAGCTGCGGCTGAAGGCAGCCGCGGAGCTCAAAAAGAAATTACAATATTAATGACCATAAATTATGAGCCTGACTCAGTTGCCCCCTTCCCATGCTGCGTGGGTCGAAATTGCAGCTATTAAAACCGCACCACGAAAAAGTCAGAGAGCTTTCGCATGCAATTCTACCCAAATCCAAGAAACTCTGACCCAGACTGCACAACAATGTAGCGCTCATAAAAACGAAAGACTTAAGCAACGAACTCATGTTGTGAAGTAACTTAATAAAATTATTTTAGTGGGGGTGCGCTCATCAGAAAGCTAAAAGCTAAATATTTCATGACTTCAATTAGTTTTACGACTTCGAGCTTAAGCAACATTATTTTTTTCTGAATTGCTAATATTTCGAAGAGTTATGACATAACCAATCAGATCAACAGGTTTGCGGAGTTTTAACTTATTAACTTATTTAAATACGGATATCGAATTTTAAAATATAAAACCTAAAAAGGATTTTTTATATCATAAGAGAATCATCTCTAAACATTAAGTAGCTTTAAAAAATAGTAAGTCGGAGAATTTTTGTTATTATTGCCTAACATCTATATTAAATTTCTAAAGGCATAAACGTGTTTTTCCTATTTTAAATGTCATCTAAAACAAAAGAGTTAGGACAAAACTTGAACAACTTTTCATTCTACTAAAAATGTCAACCATTTAGGCCTCTATTATAGCTGCAGCCATTTCCAAAAAATCAAATTTAGAGCTTCCAGAAAACGATCAAGCTTAGTAACAAAAGTTGATTTGGCTAAAAAGACAAAAAAAAAACTAATTGATTCAAGCTAAGCAAATAAAAAGCCTTCAAACTGATTCATGCACCAACTTTGGCCACATCAACTTGTTCTGTGCACCCCACACAGTCTGTTGAACCTTTGTGGCTGCGGCCACTCAAGGCCATTCCCACCAGCAGCGCAAAAACTCGCACAAAAAGCCGCAAGAGCCGCAAGTTCTAATAAATTTTGCAGAAAAACCAAATCAATTTTTTTCTCCATTCGGTCTTCTTTTACGGCGAGAATTCTCATAAATTGTGAACGACCAAAAAAGTCAAAGTGTGGTGGGCGCACCACAAACAGATCAGCGTGCGTCAGTTCAATATTGGACCCAGACGCTGTTTCATCTAACAATAGCAGCAGCATCAATCGCATCATCATTAGTCAGAGTTAGAGTCAGCCTCAGCCTCAGCGTCAGCGTCAGCGTCAGAGTCGAAGTCAGCCAAGGCTGATGTCGGCATTTACAAGTAGTTTGGCTAAATTGGTATGTGGTGGGCGTTGTGCTGATTGGCAAAGATTTTGTTGCGTGGGCTGTCGCCACATGACACAATCGTCCAAAGTCGATGCCACTTCACTCGCTTATTTTATTGTGGTTGACTTGCACTTGTTATGCGTTTTCGATTTCTGGACACGAGGGCAGGCTGGCAGGTATTCAACCTACTTTCACCAGAACTTGGTTTCGTTTTCAATGCCTTATACGAGTGGAAGTCCCAAAAACTTTTGGGCTTTCAGCGAGCTGTCAGCCACTGCAAACCGCAGACAAAACCAGAAAGAAAAAAAAAAAACAGCTGAAACTGAAATACGCGAGCATCAGCAGATCTGAGCAAAAGAAAAAAAAAAATATGCGCCGAAAAGAGCAACAAAAGCGAAAGTAAAACAGAGACCAGGTTTTTTCCTGGTCTTATTTTTGAGTTTTTTTGTAGGGCTGCAGACTCGAAATGATGTCATGACTAAAAAGGAATTGCCAAAAATTAAGTTTTTCGTCTGCGCGGCCATAGTCTGCAAGCCAAAAAAAAAAAAAAAAAATCTTGTAGCAATGAAAGGGTACAGAACGGACTGAGGGACGGACAATTGTTGTGTTTTATGCAAAATCATGCAAACTGAATCTGAAACTGAACTGTGAAACAAATGCAAAAGTAACCAGACGACTTTGGCCCAGCCCAGCCCAGTTCCAGTTACAGTTTCAGACGTCAGACGCTTTTTTTGTTGCTGTTGTTATTATTTTCATGAGCTTATGCCAGTGCCAGACCCTGAGCCGAAACGATATAACTAGCCGTAATGCCGTTTCTTTATTTCATTTTTAAGAAATCAACAACAAGCCTTTAAATTTATGACTCATATTAGTTGCCCCAAGCAGCAGCAGCAGCAGCGCCAGCAGCGCCAGCAGCGCCAGCAGCCGCAATTGTCTAAGAGAAAAAACCAACACGGAACCTTTTAGATTGCAATTTGCAACAGTTTTAGCAGCAACTGCTGCAGAGACCCAAAAAACCCGTTTAAAAAGTTCAGATTGGCGCCCAATTAACGGCGTCATTTAGCTATCAAATACAATAGCAAACGTAGACAGAGAGAGAGAGAGAGAGAGAGAGAGAGAGAGAGAGAGAGAGAAAGAAACGTCGGCTGCAATTGCTACTTGTCTCTTGTATCTTGAGTGTGTCGTGTGCACGGTAGCTGTGGCAAGTTCGTTACCTAAGTCTTTTGTTAGCGCCTGTCTAAAGCAATCGGGCCGACTAATAACTTCATTTAAATTAATCTAGTTAATCGCCTCGATGCGTATGTCAGCAATTTAAAATTCAATTACCGCAGCCGCTGCGTTTGAAGTTGCCACCGCACAAACCATTTGCATATGGCCCCCATGTGTGTGTGTGTGTGTAAGTGTGTGAGTGTGCGCCCGCTGTGGCAGCCACATCCTGTCGCCAGCTGACCGTCATATCCTGTGAGCTGGCCGTAAATTGCAAAAACCGCACATGCTAATCAACTGGCATAGAGGCTGGAGCAAACCGCAATTATTAAATTACATTTACCTGCCTATGCAGTCGGCCTAATCGAATTGCCTCAACTGGAGGCTGAGGGTCGGCTCTGGCCAGCAGAGCTCACTGATACCAACAGCCAGCACCAGCAGCCACACCAGCAGTTGACGCTTCTTGCTAATTAAGCCTCCTGGACTTTAATAGGGGTTGACAGGCGTTTGCGGTAGTTTGTTAAACAAGTGTATGAAGCTCCATATAAGTATGGGAATATGTATGTATGTATTATAATTAATAGCCAGACGGTCGAAAGACAAAAGAATATTTATTGTCTAGGCGTTGAGAGTATCCAGTTGAAGTGAGAAGTTGTGACGAGCTGTCAGCAGAGCTGCTACTTTGGTCCAAGCAATTAACTTGTTTTGACGGAGATTGATTTTCATGTGATATCTACAAGTGCAGAATCGTTGACTCTCTGACATCAGCCTATCAAATTATATCATAATATATATTTAGCTATAAGCAATTATAGTTATTATATTAATTGATGCATGTGATAGAACTAGAATTTATTTAAAACTTGTATATTTTTGCATAAATCATTATTTAGTATTTATTCGACTCTGTGGAAACTGTTATAATGCAATTGAGCTGTGACAAAAAACATATGA